TTATTTATTTATTTAGGTCCTTGAGCTTGCACAGCAGACAGTGAAACCACTGAGCTAAATCCCCAGCCCTACTTTTTTATTTTATATTTTGAGACAGAGTCTTACTAAATCACTAAATTGCCTGGACTGGGTTTAAACTTGTAACCCTCCGTCTCAGCCTCCCAGAGTGCTGGGATTATAGGTGTGGGCCACCACGCCTGGCATGCTGCAGTTTCTAACTGCTGCACAACTGTGTCCCTTTCATGCTCCCCTGGCCCCTGTGCCTCATCATTCTAGGCACCAAGGTTCAGCCAAGTTGCCATGGTCCTCATCCCTGGGGAGCTCACAGGTGCCAGAGGCGCCGTCCAGGACTTGGGTCCTCGGGGGTGCAGCTCTGGGCATCTATACCACGGCCCCTGCGCTCTCTGAGCTCCCCTGCCTCGAGGTGCCCCAGCCTGCACCCCACCTCCCTTGTTTGTACCTCCCTAATTTCTGCCCTTCTGATGAGTGTAAAATACTCTCTTAATGTCATTTTGATTTGCAACTCTCTGATATAGGCTGAGTTTGAATATTTCTGGAATCTGGGCTCTTACCTGTTAATTTGCTTCTTGAAATCAATCTGGGGTTTTTTCTAAACAAGGTGAAAAAGTCTGTGTAACAAGAGAGTCACGGACTTTATACCCTCCCACAGGCAATGTGGCCTGTGTTCTAGCAGATCCTGGCTTACAGAGCTTCCTCCTGACCCCCTAGGATTGAAGTCCAAGCCGTTCACCACCCATGTCGCTCAAACTCTGGAGCTGGGTTTTCTCCTAGGTAGGATGGGGGTGAATAACAATTGATTTGGAACCTTCCTTATCCTGGTAGACTGAATATGATATAAAGGGCCAGAAAGAGGCTTGCTGGTTTTGCTTTCTTCTGCCCCATTTGTTGCCCCTCTGCCATGTGCCATCCTGCCTTGGAGCCAGCCAATTATGGACCACAACTTCTACAAGCTGTGACCTAAATAAACTTTTCCTCAAAAAAAAATGTCCCTGGCTGGGGAATTCTGGGATAATTAAAATGGTTGGCACAAAGATTCTCTATCAGAATTAGCTACTCTGTTTTGTTTGTTTGCTTTTTAGACAAGGCCTCACTGTGCAGTTCAGTGTAGCTCTGAACACTTGAACGCTAGCCTAGGCTGGGCTCAAACTCATGGGGATTCTCCTGCCTCAGCCTCCCAGTACAGCACTAGGGTTATAGAAATGGTCAGAGTGTATAGGAAGGACCAGGCCTTACCCCAACCCCTTTCCCTGGGCAGCACCCACCAGATGCCCTAGTGAGACAGCTGTGACAGCCAAGGGCCACCCCCCCAGGCACGAGAGGCTGGCAGGAGGACTCCCTGGTGCTCTCCCCACTACGATGCACCCAAGACAGCGGGAATGGAGCCCCCAGGTCACACCCCACACGGTGAATACAACCAGTTAACCCTCGATCCTCACAACAGCAAGAGGCCAGTGATCCCAGGCCCTGGACGGAGCCAGGGTGACGGTTGCATTCCTTACCCCTTCCAGGCTGGGGGCCCCGGGATCGCTGTCATCTAGCACAGTTTCCATCTGGAAAAGCTGAGTTCTGAGACCATCAACCCAGTGTTTCGAGAGACTCCAGAAAGTACTAAAGCTTCCTGACGTCACCCTGTAATATTCTTTTTCCCCTTCTCATGAAGCCCCCACCAAGAGTGAGGGGCAATGAGAGCAGCTAATTCTAGCTGGGCGTGGTGGCATAGGCCTGTAATACCAGCACACGGGAGGCTGAGGCAGAAGGATTGCAAGTTCGAGCCCATCCTGGGCAACCTAGCAACTTAGCAAGACCCTGTCTCAAAATTCACAAAGAAAAGAGCTGGGAGTGATGGCAAGCATTTATAATCTCAGTACTCGGGAGGCTGAGGCAGGAGAATCACCATGAGTTTGAGGCCAGCCCAGGCTGCTTTAGTGAGTTCAAGTCCAGGCTGAACTACATAGTGAGACCTTGTCTCAAAAAAAATGGAGGGGAGGCTGAAGATGAAGTTCAGAGTGAGGGTCCTGGGTTTAATTCCCAGTACTGGCAAACAAAACTAAATAATGATAAGCCTAAAGGATATCTGAGCTCTCTGTAGCAATGGAAAGATCTGTGGTTTCCATTGGAAACAGTCACAATATTGACTATATTCAGAGTGGAAACAAATGCTGAATTTCAGTTAGAAGTTAGTGAAAATAAACATGTAAGTTTTCCCCATCCAAGTTCCAGAAGTCCCCGAATTCTCCCGTGCCCTGGAGGGTGGGCCAGCAAGAACTAAGACTCAGAGGCTCCTTGTGAAGTGCTCAGACTCTGTGAGACTCAGGAGGCTGTCAACAAGCGAAGCTCTTATGAGCGGAAAAAGGAAAAACCGGCTCTGCTCCTCAAGGGCAAAGGTGATCATGGTTTGCCGCCTGCTTCCTCCCTGGTGTGGATTCCACTGTTCTGAGTGAGCAAGGAAGAAAGTGTGTTTCTGTATCACAACGCATGGACTGTTCATTTCCTGCTTCTCAGGCCAAGAGGCATCTTGTTGCTTTCTGTGTTTTGCAACTGACTAATCAGGGAACCAGACCAAGCAGGCAATGGCTTGGTTCAGTTCTCACCCTAAGGTGGTAGTCATGGTGCCGAATCTCTCAGAGATGGAGCAATTCCGAATGCCCAGGAAGCTTGGCAATTGGACTTAATCTCTCTCATTTTAAAATTAATCTTTGACCTCTAAGTATCAAAGGTGACCAGTGAGTGGGTCAATGGTTTCAGTGCTTGAAAAGCCAGCTCCGTGGGTAGAAGAGCATTTGGTTTATACAGGATTTCACCATTTGTCATCTGCAAGAGAAGGAGGGTGTTAATGAATACAGTCGTGGTGAAGACCTTGCGGGGGCTGTGACTTGGCCAACTGTCGAACAGTGCTGAGTAAAAGCAGTTTGGCAAAAAGCAGTTTTCCTGAATGGAAGGGTGAAATTTGAACTCAGCTGAGGAGACTGGGATCAAAGTGCTTCTGACAATATTCAAGGCAAGAGGCCCTACTCTGTGTGTGTGTGTGTGTGTGTGTGTGTGTGTGTGTCTGTGTGTGTGTGTGTGTCTGTGTGTGTGGGATGGGGTTTAAATTGCTAAAATAGGAACTGAGTGTGGAAGCATACACAATCCCAGCACTCTAGGAAGCTGAGGCAGGAGGATGGCAAGTTAGAACCCAGTGATACCCCATCTTAAAATTTAAAAAATTGAATAAGGGCTGGGGATGTAGCTTAGTGCCAGGGAAAAAAGTTGTCAATCTAGGGGAGAAGACCTGCTTCTCAGTTCCTGTCTTCTCGTCTCTTTTTGAGGCTTTAACAAAAGCCTTGGGGGTCCCTGGGGCTCACCGGAGCACATTGTGTACTGAGGACGTTTGCCCAGCTTCCTCCCTGTGTGAGCCCTGAAGTGGTTTAGCCAGCTGTGTGTTCTGCCTGTGTTTGCTTCTGTTTGGTGCGACAAGGAACTTCCATCAGTGTGTGAATGACATGGGACGGCCAGCTTCCTGCACCATACTGGGGCCCAAGTTGCAGCTGCTCAAAAGAGAAAGTTTTTTCATTGTCAAGGGGCGTTGGGAGCCATCTGGTCCAAACTTCCTATTTTGCAGACTTGCTGGTTTGTCAGAGTGGCTGGGACACCGGTTATTGTCTCTGTTCTGAACCTGGAAGTCTGAGATCAAAGTCCTGGGGCTGGTGCCCCCCACGGCCCCCCTCCTGGCTTTCCAATGGCATCTTCTCCCTGTGGCCCCACGAGAGTGTCCCCCTGTGCTACCTGCATCCTCCTCTCTTCTTGAAAGGACACCAGGGAGACTGGGTTAGTGCCCACCCTGGAAGCCAGGTTTAACTTAGTCTCCTCCTCAAAGCTCTTCTCTCCAAATCTGTCTGTGTCCTGGAGAGCTGAGGGTGGGACCCCAACAGATGGATTTGGGGGCTCAACTAGCTTGTAACAGGGGTCACAGAAGGTGAAGGGTTTGCCCGAGCTGGGTAGCTGGAGTCCTGGGCCAGCCTGGTTCCTGACTTCTCATCGGTTCTTTCCACCCGTATATGCAGCTTCGCTTTATGGCACTATGCACCAAATACCTGTATTTTTTCTGGCACTGGGGATTGAATCCAGGTCTTTCACACTGAGCTACATCTCCAGCCATATTTTATTTTTTATATATTTTTTAAAATGTTGAGACAGGGTCTTGCTAAGTCACTAAGTTGCCTAGGCTGGGCTCGACCTTGGGCTCGTCCTCCCTCAGCTTCCCAGAATGCTGGGATGACAGGTGTATGTTACCATGCCCAGCCAGCAAATTTTGACTTCTGCCAGAGGAGCCTGGGGCAGGTGTTTGGGGAGCCTGCCTCCCAGTGAAGCCAGGTGTCTCTGCTTCTTTCCTTGTCCTCCCAAAAGGCAGCCTTTTCCTGCTGAGGCTGAGCCCCTTCCCTGCCTCCCTTTGACCCCAAGGTGGGGCAGCTCAGGGCACCCCGCGGTGCGCCCCCTTTGATCAAACTTCTTGTCCTGAGCTCCCAAGGCTAAAGCAATCAACCTCATGGAGGGTTGGGGAGGCATCAGAGGTGGTTACCTCCCTGTGCCTCCTGCCACCTGAGTGACGCCCCTGCAGCTGGAGGGGCAGGGGACAAGCCGACCTTTCACTGAAGAGTTTGGCGCCGCAGGAGAGAGCTGCCCAGCCTGAGGATGAGGGGGTCCCCGGCAGTTGTCTGGTAAGTGTCTCTTAGCCAGGAACCTGGGGGAATTGGGAGGCCAGGTGAGTGCTGACTGTCCGTCCCCACGAGCTTGGAACAGAAACCAAGTGCTTCTCACTGGCACCAGGAACTTCTGTCTCAGAGGGAAGAGGGCCCCATAGGTGACGGTGACGCTGAGCAGGCCCATGGGGCTTGGTCAAGGACTGGCCTCCTCACTCCACCTTCCCCAGGCCCATTGTTCTGGAATCTGGGTCATGCCAGGCGAAGATTCCCAGAAGGTTGGCAGAATACAGAACATTCCTTGTTTGTCCCAGAGGAGTCCTTAAAGGAATTTAGGCTTCAAGTAAGCGAGAGGTGCTAATCTCGAGAGTTTTCAAATGACAAGGGTCCAGCTGTAAGGGTAAGGAGGGGAACTCACTGTCCTTAGCCACAGACCTGCAGGCTCCCTTCCCCAGCTGAGGTGCACCATTCAAGAATACACTGAGTCATCCCAGCACTCTGGGAGGCTCAGGCAGGAGGACCACAAGTTAGAGGCCAGGCCGGGCAACTTAGTGAGATTCTGAAAGGGCTGGGGATGTAGCTCAGTGTGAAGGCCCTGGGTTCAATTCAATCCTGAGAGAGAGAGAGAGAGAGAGAGAGAGAGAGAGAGAGAGAGAAGAGAGGGAGAGAGAGAGGCAGCAAGACAGCAAGACAGCCTTTAACAAGCTCCTGGGCATGGGAGCCAGCTTGAAGGTCAGCAATAGCCAGCTGTTGCCTTAGGGACGTTCGCTGTGAGCCTTTGTTCCCATTTGGTGAGCTCTGCAAGTCTGTGCACAAGGAAGGCTATACAGAAGCTGAGCAGGAGCAGGGGTGGGGACAGGGGAGGAGCAGGCCTGGCCCTGTACCAGGGACCCCCTTGGGGCTTAGCACTGGGGAACGGAGTGTCTACCCCAAGGTTGCAAAGGTCAGGTTCAGGGGCTGGGCTGCAGGAGTGAATGGGCTGAAGCCAAGCTCGCCTCTTGCTCCTAATCAAGACTGAAGAAAGATTCAGGAGCAGGTGCAGAAGGAGGGCAAGTCTGTCCAGACCTCTAGTGAGGCTGAGGCGGTGCACTTTCCCTATAGAACTGCCCGGGGATGGTGCTGAGTGTCAGAGAAACTGCTTCTCCTTTCCCAGGTGTCTGTCCCCGCTCTAGTTCCTGATTGACTCACCCTTGAAGACCTTCCCTCAACCCCGTTGCCCCAGCCATGGCTGTGTATTGCAGATTGATTAATTGGCAGGAACTGAGGCTCAGCATCCAGCAGCAGAGCCAGGAGCTTCAGGGGTTGGGGAGAGGCTGGCCCCCGAGAGGGTACCCACGCCGGCTTCCACAGGCAGTGGATGAAGTGTAGGTGCCACACAGCCTCTGGTTTCTGTCAGTGACAACAGCCTCGGTCAGAAGCACAGTGCCCTTTCCACTTTGTGAAATATAGCTTTTTAAAACAATTGAAGTCTAGGGCTAGAGATGTAGCCTAGCACAAGAGTTACTATGCGTGAGGCCCTCATTCAATCCCTGATGCTGCCAAAAAGGAAACCTTGAACATGTATCAGAGACTATTTATTTAATGCCACTTATTAACTGATGTGGGAACCAGTAAGATGTTACAGTCAATTCAAAGGAGATCCACAGAATGGATGGAGATGTAACCAGTCAGGAGTACTGAGGTAAATTCCTGTCATAAATGTAAAATTGGTCAGTATCCACAGGTCAGTAACCAACTGCAACTCCACCTGGGCAGGACTTGCATTTTTCTACGTGAGAATCATTTGCATGAGTATCAGTACAGTATTCCACCACTTACAGAGTTGCAAAATACCTCCATGATGATGAAAGATAGAGAATCAAAGAACCCTGACAGTCCACTAGACAATACCCAGGTTTTCATTCAAGAAACCTCGTCACCTAGTCATTCAGGGGTCCACTTTAAAATATTTCACATTTTTCCCCCATCAACTTGTGTGCAAGTCATTCTTTTTTGTTTTGTTTTGTTTTTTGAGCCATGGTCTTGCTATGTAGTTCAGGGTGGTCTTGAACTCACTATGGAGCCCAGGCTGGCCTCGAACTCCTGGCGATCCTGCTTCAGCCTCCCCAATGCTGGAATCACAGGCGTGTGCTACCACACCCGGCTTCAAGGCTCATTCTTGTTCCAAAGCAAATGCCTGCCTAAGTACTCCTGAAGGTATCTTCCCAATCATTCTTACTGTTGTCTTCCTCCCCTACATTTGGGGCCCACATCTTGGATCTCCAAATCCACAGGCCAGTTCTTTGTATATATTTACTTATTTATTTTTTTATATATTTACTTATTTGTTTGCAGTACAGGATATTATTGACTCCGCCAAATCCTGGGCTACACCCCTATCACTTTTCTTATTTTTATTTTATTTTATTTATTTATTTTGGTACCGGGGATCGAACTCAGGACCTTGCGCTTGTGCGGCAGGCACCAGAACCATTGCACTAATCCCTGGCCCCCTTTTCTTATTTTTAATATTTAATTTTTTAAAATCTTTAAATTTTTATTAGCACATATTTGTAATACATAATGAATGATTACATTTATCATGGGGAGTTGGCACATGTACGTATCACATCCTGATTCTTTTTATTTCCCCTCTCTTCCTCTCCCTACGCACCCCTCCCTCCATCTGTTGCTCTCTTTCCCATTTGCAAAAGATCTATTTGCCTGTTTCCTATTTATTTTTTATTTTCTTTAATTTATTTATACTTTGGGTTTCTCACGTAAGAGAAACTATGCAATACTTAAACTTTTGTGTCTGATTTCTTTCCCTTGAAATTATGTTCTCGAGGGTTTTTTAAATTTTTGGATGGGATCTCCTTAAGTCACTCAATTGCCCAGGCTGTGCTTAAACTTGCCATCCCCCTGCCTCAGCCTCCCAGAGTGCTGGGATCACAGGTGTGCTTCTTTCTTTCTTTTGTTGTTTTGGTTCTGTGGGTGGAACCCAGGCTCTCCACATGCTAAGCACCCTCTCACAGAGCTACATCCCTAGCCCTTTGTGTTTTCTCTTGTGGAACTGGAGATGGAATCTGAGGCCGCTCTTGTGTCAGGCAAACACTGTACCCTGAGCTTCACTGCAGCTCTGTAGCTCTTTCTAAATAGCTGCAAACCCTGCAGACAGAAGGACCTATTTATATGTGAGATCCTGACCCTTCTCCACTCAGGGTTCTCCAGACTTCCCATTATTTTTGCGGTAAAATCCCAGCTGCACCAGGGCTCCTGGCCCTCCTGGCTCTGGCCGATGTCTGTCGCTCTCACCTTGTGTGCACTACTTGTCCCTTTCTACCGACTGTGGCTCTCTTGACCTTGTTGTTGCTGCTTGGTGCTCCTTAAACACACTGAACTCATTCCCTGAGTTTGTGGTCCCACTGCCCGGAATTTGGCTTCCCAGCTCTGTGCAAGGGACTCCTCGACGTCCTACTTTGGTCCCAAGTTCACCTCTCAGAGGAGACTTTTACCTCACATAGGAATGCCGGGATAAGCGAAAGGGTTGTATAAATCGCTGTCTGTCTGTGATGGAAACCCCGGCATTATTGAGGGCTGGTGTGTCCTGCTATCCAGCCCCGGGCTCTGCCCTTGTGCCAGCCTGGGGGCCCAGAGTGAGGGAGATGGTGCTTGCTGGGAACGTGTGGATAAACCACATTGGATGGGGTGTGTGGGAGCCCCCTCTCCACTGTGGGAGAAACCAGTTTCAAGTCTATTTGCAAATTCATCTCAACACTGCTTCTGCAGAAAGTGTCTGTTCTTTCTTCTCCTTTGAACTGCTCGAAACATCTGCCTGGCTCTTCATTAATAATAAGTTGATAAAATCCTTAACATGGGCTCATTTAAAAAAAATCTGTATGAAAATCATGATGTTACCTTTTTTGAAAATTATCTTTCAACATCGACCTCCCATCCTCCTCCCCAGCTCAGATGCTATAGCTCATTGCTGTTTCTCTTTCCTAGAGCCTTACCATCTCCTGAGATTACTTTCCTCCCTTCCTTCCTTTCTCTCTCTCCCTCCCTCCCTTTCTCTTTCTTTCTTTCTTGCTTGCTTGCTTGCTTTCTTGACAGGGACTTGCTATGTACCCAGGCTGGCCTTGAACTCACAACGATCCTCCTGCCTCAGCTTCTTGAGTGCCAGGGTTATAGGTATGCACCACCACCCCAGGTACAAATTTATTTCTTTACTTGTTTGTGGTTGTTCTTTCTGTGTCTTGATGGCTGCACATTATGGAAGACACTCAAAAAATGTCTAGTTGGGGCTGGGGATATAGCTCAGTGGTGGAGCACTTGCTTAACATGCTTGAGGGCTCAGTCCCCAGAACTAGAGTGGGGGAAAATATATATATTTGATGGCCTGAATTATAACCAGTAGCCCAAGCAGTGGCTGAGTGATGCACTGCCTCCTCCCTGCAGGGCCATCTGTGTCGCCTGCTTGCAGCACTCGGTGTTCCTACAGGTCCTCCCCATCAGGTCGAACCAGGATAGGCCACGCCCTGCGCTTGGAGTTTCGGCAGGTAACCCATTTGCGATTTGGCACTGGTACCAGGCTTCAGGCATTCCCTACCGTGCAGACCCATAACCAGCCTGCTGGGTGACACTGGGGGACTTGGGCAGTGAGGAAGCCTTCCAAGCCAGCGCACTAGCCTGGAGTCAGCCTCTCCTCCTCCCAATGGGACGTGGAATTCCGGGGCTCAGTTGCTGGGGTCCAGTGGCTGGCTGGGGCAGAGTTAGGGTTGGGGCTGTCATCCTTGGACTCAGAGTTCAGTGCTTGTTTCAATAATAAAAGCCACCATGTGGCTGGGTGTGGTGGTGCAGGTCTATAGTTGTAGCACTCTGGGAGGCTGAGGGAGAAAGAAGGCAAATTTGAGCTCAGCCTGGGCAACTTAGTGACTTAGCGCCCGTGTTCTCAAAATAAAGAAAATAAAGGGCTGAGGGTGTAGCTGTGAAGCCCCAGGGTCCATCCGCAGACTCATAAAAAACAAAACAAAAAACACACAAGAACAAGACAAAGCCAGCATGCCATGTGTGTCCCAGGCCATGTCGGGCTTGGGGGGTTTGTGGCCGTTTCTCATCCTTACAACACGGGCTGTGAGGGGTCAGGGTCTGGAGCGGGGAGTGACGTGTCCACGGTCCCGCAGCAGCAGAGCCAGGACTCAGCCGGGACAGCTGAGCCCCAGATCTCTGTCCTGAGCCACTCTAGCAAGCGACACTGGAAGAGTGACATGTATTTGCCCTGAGGAGGAGGTTTTCTAGGCCTCATCTCATTCATCTTCAGGAGAGGTTCAGGGATTCCCTACGGTCACCCTCCCTTCTGACACCAACTTCAAGTTCAAGGGTCCCCAAGACCACCCTCATGTGTTTTTGGGGTTTTTTTTTTTTGGTACTGGGGATTGAACTCAGGTCCTTGCACTTGCAAGGCAGGTGGTAGAACAACTGAGCTAAATCCCTGGCCCACCCCCATGTGGTTTTGTTGTTTGTGGGCTACAGAGTGAACTCAGGGCCTTTGCACTGAACTGCAAGTACAGCCCTTTTTTATTTTGAGACAAGGTGAGACTAAATCAGTAAGATCCCCAGGCTGGATTCAAACTTGCCACCCTTCTGCCTCAGCCTCCTAGAGTACTGGGATTATAGGTGTGTGCCACCATGCCTGGCTACCCTCAGGTTTATTAATTCACTTGAAAGGCTCATAGGCCTTGGAAAAGGTGTTATGCTCAAGGTTATGGTTCAATCCAATGAAAGGGTACAGATTAAAATCACTAAGGGAAGTGTGTGTAGGGCAGGGCCTGGGGCAACTCCTAGGAGTCCTGCCTCCATGATGGTGAGTGGACAGGGCTGACTTCTCCCAGCGGCGATGTGTGACATACACATAGACTGTAGCTCACTGAGTCTCGGTGTCTGGGCTGGGCATGCTGACCACCTGCAGGGCTGAGCTGAGACCCGAGGTCCAAAGCCGCCTTCGTAAGTCCCGGTGTTAGCAGGACTATGGCACACTGCCCGAGGTAAACGAAGGCATCCACACTGGCAGAACATCCTGAGGGTCAGCATGTCCTTCCTGGCTGCTAGGGGCAAGGGCTCCATCTTACAGAAGAGGAAGTGGGGCCTTGGAGAGGTGAGTGGCTCACCCTGTCACGTGGCTACACCCCAGATCTGAGCCCTGAGCATGCAACTCTGTGCACAGTGCCCTGCATCAGGAATGGTGCTGTGGGCAAGCAGAGCAGCATTTGCAGAGGCCGTGACGTGGAGAACAGCACCTTGGGTGAAGTGTGGAGGGAAGAGGATGGAGTGGTGGGCAGGGCTGCGTGACTGTGGGAAGGCAGTGGGGAGCCACTGAAGGTGCTGAGGAGGGGCTGCCATACTGTCATTTCTGTTTTAAGACTCCTGTGTGTTGAGAATGGACTGGAGGCTGGCAGGGGCAGGGGTGGGTGTCCACCTCGGCCTGGAGTCTTCGGCTCAGCTGTAGAGCTTCGAGGATGAGCCATCCACCCTACCCCATTTTTAGGAGTCAAGTGGCCGACTTGGGGCTTATACAGACCTTTAAAACTGCACTGGGTAGCCAGGGTGGTGGTGCGCACCTGTGATCCTAGTACTTGGGAGGCTGAGACAGGAGGATCTCAGAGTTTGAGGCCAGCTTGGGCTACATAGTAAGTTCAAGGCCAGCCTGAACTGCAAAGTGAATTGTCTTAAAAAAAATTGCACTGGTGTCAGAAGTCCACACCATGGCATGGTGACCTTGAGCAGCAGCAGAACATGGCATCTGAGTTAGTACCAATTTGGAGTCATGTGCACTCTGACATGTACTCAATTTCTCTGCTGCTGTAACTCATCTGGTTATGTGATGAGGTGGTAAGTGATGCTGGGGAGTTTAGGGCCCCGGTCCTGCTGCCCTGTGACCAAGGCAAGTCCTTTCATCTGTGGGTGAAATCAGCTAACATCCCAAGAGCTGTCATCTTTAGGCAGAAGCTCTGTGTTGAGCACCCTGTGAAGAGCTTCAGATGTAGGAACTCATTCAGGTTTCATATCCCACGAAGTGTCAGTGTCACCATCATGTCACCATCGTTCACTACTACCACCAGCAGTGTCAGATCACCATCATCACCGTCACCATCACTACCACCATTGTCACCACCACCATCACCATGACTACCACCATCACTATGACTCCCACCACCATCACCGTCTCCACCATCACCATGACTACTACCATCACTGTTGCAGAAATCTTGGAAAGAAATACACAGAGAGACAGAATTCAGATAAAATAATAAAATTTCTTCTCGCTAGTGGACGGGAATGCCAGAAACCAGTCTGGTCAATATCCACGCCCCCTTTGTTCAGCATTTCCCTTTTTATATCCTTTTTAGCCATTATCTCATCCCTAGTGGTCTTTGATATGTAAATACAATTCCAGTTCCTATTTACAAGTCACAGACACAAGACAGGCCATATACATTGTAAATTCACCCTGGCATGGTAACTGTTAGGTTAATGAAGTTCCTAGTTAGAGTCAGATAATCCTCACCTTAAACAAGGAGTTACAGGAAAAGCAAATCTTAAAAGAACACATTACTTATTTTGCTTCTACAACTACCTTAATATTCAATCTATTAAGTTATCTAAAACTTTTCCATATCATCACCATGACTACCACCACCATCACCATGACTACTACCACCATCACCATGACTACCACCATCACTATGACTGCTACCATCACCATGGCTACCACCACCACCACCATGACTACCACCACCATCACCATGACTACCACCATCACTATGACTACTACCATCACCATGACTACCACCATCACCATGACTAGCACCATCATCACCACCATCCCAATCCCCATCATCACCACCATCATTAGAATTAGCATCACGACTACTACCACCATCACTTCCACCATCAGAACCATCACCATCAGGACCCACACTACCGTCCATCAACATCACCAATCACCATCACCATCGTCACCCCCATGACCACCACCGCCAGCACCACCATCTTCGGCAGCATCATTACCATCATCATCTCCATCCCCGTCACCAATCACCACCACCATCATCATGATGTAAGAAAGGCACAGGAAGAAATTTAAGCAATAGGCACACACACACACACACACACACACACACACACACAAACGCCCACACCCACGCACACACAGAACACAGGTGAGACAGCTCCAGCTGTTCTGCCTCAGCACCCACAGTCTTACCATTAAGTCCCATTGCTCCCCGTGTCGCCTGTAAGACACAGTAGTTAGATCTGTGACTTCGGGGCCTTGCTACTCAAAATGTGGTCCCTGGACTGGCAGGGTCAGCATCACTTAGGCTGGTTATGACTGCGGTGCTCCGGCCCTCCCTGGACCTGCTGATCCATGTTTTAACAAGCACCAGGTGAGCTGTAAGCACCCTGAAACCTGGGGGCCTCGCCCTACACTGCCCCAAGCTCCTATACCCTCTGCGAGCTGTGACCTCAAAGGAGAAAGGATTTGCCGGTTATGATGATATGACTCTCAGTGCCCTGTCCTCACAGCACCACAGAATTAGAGCCGAGAGGGAGTCCATTCATCCTCCCTTTTCTCCTCCCTCCCTTCCTTCCCTGAAGTTTTTTTTTTAACAGAGTCTCACTATGTAGTTCAGGCTGACCTTGAACTCACTATGTAGCTCAGGTTGGCCTCAAACTCAAAATGATCCTCCTTCCTCAGCCTCCTGAGTGTTAGGATTACAGGTGTGTGGCACCACACCTAGCTTAGAAGTACCTTCTTGTCCAACAGACAAGGTGGAGTGCTTCTCTGACTATATGACCCTGCAGATTCCGAGCAGCCGCGTGGAGGGTTTGAGGCAGTGGCTGGGCAGAATCCTACAGCTGCCAGGTAAGGGACGGCTGTTGTCTGGAAAGAGCCAGTCGCTTGTATCTGCCCTGGGGCATTGGCATTGCCTTTCATACCCGGGTCCTCCACCCCACCTCTTTGGTGGGAGTCTTCCTGCCCCTCACATCTGCTCAGATCCTCTCCCCAGGGCTTCCTAACTCTCTCCACAGAAGCTCCCCCCGCAGTCACGATCTCACTTGTCACCTGCACCCCCTGCCAGTGGAAGGATCCTTGTTTCTAGCTGATACAGCTGGGGACACTGCTGGTGTTCAAGGCACTCATGACAAACATGTGCTGGATTAACAAATGGCTGAAACCTGTCAAGAAGTGCCTGTCTGTTGCCGATATGCTCCAAAACCTTAGCCGCCCAGGAAAAGGAATGGATATGAGGAAAGGGGTGAACGGTGCCCCTAAAATAGCCAAGGGACCAGTTTCTGAAACCTTTCAGCCATGAGCTTGGCAACAGGAAAAATGGGAAGAGGGTAGATACCATGAGGAACCTTCTGGAAACTTCTGGAAGGAACAAGAAAAGCAAGATGCACCACTAGCCCACTTCCTGTTTTCCACCTTGGGGGCTGCAAAGTAGATTCTCAGAATTTGTCCTTTCCTTTGCACAAAAAGGGAGATACTGAGGGCAGGGAGGCTTCCCTGTCTCTCCCAAGTCTAGCAAAATCACCCAGGGACCCTGTTTATTCTGGACTCTTTTTTTTGGTACCGGGAATCAAACTCAGGGCCTTGTTCTTGCCAGGTAGGTACTGCACCCTGAGCTGCATTCTCAGCCCTATTCTGGATTTTTTTATTTTTTTTTTTCAAGACAGGATCTTGATGTGTAGTTCAGGCTGGCCTTGAACTCACTATGTAGCCCAGGCTTGCCTGGAACTCAAGGTATTCCTCCTGCCTCAGCCTCTTGAATGCTGGGATTGCAGTCAAGCGCCACTCTGCCCAGCACATTCTGGAAATTCTTAAGGCACCATCTGGGTCGGGTGTGGCCTGAATCTGTCTTGGGAGGGCCAGTGCTTGATCAGCCAGCCAGCCCATGACAACTTGGAGTGGCATTTGTGTAGTAAAAGCCCCTTTTCCGAGAGAAATGGTGAGGATACATTAAGCTGTCGCCTGTTCTTTGGAGAGCCATTATTAATGGAAAACAATAGATTAATAGTTTTAAAACGCTTGTTCAATAAGTAATTTTTATGGCTCTGGATAGAGCCCATTAAACATTTCTGTGTGTTATTATCAAGAAGTTTTAAGCGTAAAATCATAAAGTCAATAATCAGAGAATTAGTCACAGCGGCCAGCCACAGGCCATTAGTTTTAGGCGCTGTCAGAGACACCTGTGGCTTTTGAGGGAGTTTTTATTTCGCAGCGGCCAGCGTTGGCACCAGGTGGGGATGGAGAAATGACAGTGCCTGCTGCCTTCCATAAACTTGAAGGGACAGCAAGCAGGTGTGAGCAGCAGGAAGCCAGGCAAATATTTACAAAGTGTAAACGTGAATGCAAAACTGAAACGATCCAGGTCAATTTGCACATCCAGGCTTAGACACTTTATTTCCCCAGCGAGCTACCTTTCAGAGCCTCCCTCCACCGGAGGCACGGCCTTGATCTCTTGCTAAAGATAGCAGAGCAAGCAGCGCCTTGAAAAGGGAAGCGGAGTCCCCCACAGACGGCCGCCCCGCCTGGCGCCTGCGACTGCGTATTCATCTCCCATCCACAGCACGTTCGAGTATTTGAAAATGAAACTGTGACTTTGAAAAATGGCTTTGTACAAAACCATGACAAAAGCAATACCAGGTCATTATGGGAACCGGAGGAAATCCAAAGAAGATAATAAAAATGGCCCATAACCCCTCTACTCAATGATATCCCTTTTTATATTTCACTCATTCAACAAATATTTCCTGAGAGCCCTCAATGCCAGACGTGGCTTAAGGTGCTAGGATGGAGTGGGAACAAAACAGACAAACATTCCTGGTGCCTGGAGCTGATGTTGGTGCAGAGAGCAACATATGATGGCTCTAATCTGAAGTTAATTAGATGGGAAGTGAGGGGGTAGAAGCACCAGGGATAAGAAGGTGGTCAGGGTAGACTTCCTGTAGGTGACTTTTTTGTTATTGTTTTTTAATAATTTTTTTTTTTGGTACTGGGGATCGAACTCGGGACCTTGCACTTTCGAGGCAGGCAGCGGAACCACTGAGCTAAATCCCCGGCCCTTGTTGTTGTTTTTTGAGACAGAGTCTCGCTATGTAGTTCAGGCTGGACTTGAACTCGCTGTGTAGCCCAAGCTGGACGAAAAGCAATCCTCCCTCAGCTTCCTGAGTACTAGGATTACAGGTGTGTGCCAGCATGCCAACTTCATTCAGGTGACTTTTGTACAGACATGAAGGAGGTGAAGTGAGCCAGGCAGATATCCAGGCAAGCCTGGCATGGTGGTCCATGTTTGTAATCCCAGCTACTCCAGTGTTGAGGCAGGAGGAGGTCAGCCTGGGCAATGTAGCCGGACTGTGTTGCAAAGTAAAATAAAAGGGGTTGGGATGTAGGTCAGTGGTAGAAGGCTTGTTTAGTATGTGCAAGATCCGGTGTTCAATTCTTAATACTGGGGGGGAAAAAAGAAAGAAAGAAAGAAAGAAGGAAAGAAAGAAAGAAAGAAAGAAAGAAAGAAAGAAAGAAAGAAAGAAGGAAAGAAAGAAAGAAAGAAAGAAAGAAAGAAAGAAAGAAAGAAAGAAAGAAAAAGAGTTCCAGGTAGTGGGCAGAGCCAGTGCAAAGGCCCTGAGGCAGCAGTGGGCCTGAGATGTTTGGAACACAGCAGGCAGGAACAAAGGGAGGAAGTTTAGAGAAGTAGAAGAGGAGGTCAGAGAGGTAAGGAGCCCTTCAGAGGGGGAGCTGGAGATGTGACATAGCCTCAGCTGCTCCACTTTGTATCTGCCTGTCCCTTTCCTACCTCAGTCTCCTGGAGGGCCCCCAGCCACCTGGATCCTCTTCTTGCCCGATGTGGCTACTTCCTGCATCCCGCACCGGATGGTGACTTCATTTTCCGAGCTCGATACTCGGCCTGCTTGGTGCGGAAGGAGGTGCGTCTAGGAAACTTTTCTTTGCAGGGGTGGGGCTGGAACCTAGAGGCTCCTGCGGCCCAGGTGAGCACTGTCCCCAGTCTTCAGCGAGCCTCGCCGGTGACTCGTGCAAAGCATCTTCCCTTCCGGGGCACAGCTGTCTCCTGCCAGGGGAGCCTGACACACAGGGCGCCTACTCGGCCCGTCAGGAAGGGGACGCACAGTGCGAGGGGGCTGCAGAGACTGCCCGGCTGCCTCATCTACACCAGGGCCTTGCGTGTTCCTGGGCCCCCACAGCTCTATCCCCATTGCAAAGGCAGCATGGTTCCACTTCGCTTGCCTAAAGATGCCTCTCACCTCTCCCGCCCCTTTCCTCTGTCCGCCACAACTTTGTCCTTCCTGCCCAGCCAAGCCCCATTTTCCCTGAGGGGCTGAGGTCCCCCCTGGGGGCCTGACTGTCCCCCTTCTCTTCCTCCGGTCACTGTCCCCTTTCTGACAGCTCCCACCCCAGTCAGGCACATCTCAGGTGCCCACAGGGCTCACACCTGCTCTCCTGTGGCTGGAGGGGACCCCTTGGCTGGCTTAGCATGCAGAGTATGGGGATGAGACACGTGGGATCCGTGTCCTCACTTAGGACTGGCCCCTGCCTTTCACTTAGTCTCTTACTTCCGCCAAGCCTCAACTTCTCCATCTGTACAGTGGGACCCAGAGAGCCTCTCCTGAGTCATTCGTGAGGGTCAAAGGACCCAGCGTGTGAGCCAGTGTTTGCCAAGGTCAAGGGATGAGCAGGCACAGGGTGGCCTTCTGGAAATCCTCAAGGGTCCCCAGCCCCGAGGGCCTGCCTGAGCTGCTGGAGGCCAGAAGGTGGCCCCAGGTTCCTCTTCTCTGCCCGGCTCACTTTCACTTCTCCTCCCTCTTCCATGAGACCCGTCCCCTTCCAGGGCCCAGGGTAATCGATTTGCTGTGAACGGTCGCTGACCTATAATTGCGACCTATTCGCTGTTTTCTTCTTTCATTTGCGCAGGTGACTTTTGCTTTATTTCCAGAAAGAAAATTACAGGTTGGAAATCAGACTACTTCACACAGGGGTGAAAAGGCTGGAGCGGAGCAAAGGCTACATAATGAAGTGTCCAGCGGCTGTGTCCAGGCTGGGGCGACAGAGCGTCCACTGCAGCCCCACGTTCATCCAGGTAATGGGCTGGGTGCATCCCGGGCTCCTCTCCGAAGTTCAGGCATGTGGCCGTGGCTCCTGAGTCTCGGGGCGTGGCAGGGCAGTGGCAGCTGGCACCACAGACATTGGTGGGCCTGGCTGGGTTCCAAGTTCCACGAGGATCCTGTTGAGGAGTGGGCCCTGGGATGTGGCGGAGCGTGCCCAGGGGGCTGCAGATTACAGGTCCCTGCACTCATGTTCTCAGTTTCCTGTGGTAGCTGGCATGGGGGAGCCACCCGGATTGGCACCAAAGCAGCAGGACGGTGTCCCTGTCTGTCCCTCAGGATTGGGAGGAGTTGCTGGTCTGGATGCTCCTTTTTAACCTGGGTCAAAGAATTATTCCCCAGGAGTGTGGCTCGGTGTACAGGGCTGGGGAGGAGGGGGAGCATTCTACTTCGAGTGGAAGGCTCTGCTTGAAAGGTGGGTGACAGGGACCCATCCCAAGCTCCAGCTATGAGTGCTGTCATGTCCTGGCGAGTTCCTTGAAGTCAGCTCTCTCTCCAGCTCCCAGGAGACTTGAGGGCAGGGGAGTTGCAAACCTCAGTGTCTACAGGGGCCAAACTGGGACAGAAATGAGTGTCCCAGGGGAGGAGATGGCGAGGAGTTTAACTCGGGTCTTCACTGCTCAGAGAACATTTAGGTGCTCACCCCCTGTGCTGGGCGCGGGGACAGAGCTTTATAAATACTAACTCACCGCCCCTTCGCAGCGGCCCTGGGTGGTGGGTGCAACTCTCCCCACTCTGCAGACAGAGCTAAGTGGAGATTAGGTTTGCCAGAAGTCCGCGGCGGTTGAGTGGCACAGCTGGGCTGTGAACCCAGCAGCATGGTGGGGGCTGTGGCAAAGCTGGTACAGCCACAGCCTCGAACCTTAAAGCCACAAAGAGCAGTGCCACTCAGCTTCTGTCCCATGATGCCAGAGTTGTCAGCTTTTTAAGAGAAACAGGAACCTGGATGTGGTATTGGGCATGACTGTCATCCTGGCACTCTGGGAGGCTGATGCAGGAGGATCACAAGTCGGAGCCCAGGCTGGGCAACTTAGAAACTTAGCAAAACCCTGTCTTAAAATAAAAAATAAACAAATAAATAAGGCCTGGGGCTGTCATACAGTCTCAAAGGAAAAAGAAAGGAGAAACAGGAAATGTATAATTATACAGGAAATTTCCTCATTTTAAAGGCTGAGTTCAGGCTGGGGGTGTGACTTGGTGTAAAGCACTTGCCTAGCATGTGCAAGGCTCGGAGTTGGATCCCCAGCACCGAAAAATAAAAAAGCCCAAACAAAATTCTGAATTTGACCTTTTGGCTTGAGGGTACACGAAACAAGCATTTGTTGAGCACCTACTACATGCTGCAGTCAGGGTGGTGCTAAAGGAACAGGTTAGAATAGAACAGAGACCCTTGCCTCTGGAAGGGCGGGTAGTTTTATTCTCACCTGGTCTAGGTTTTCAGAGGCGTGTGCTAGGGCTGGAAGAGTCCCCTGAGCAGCAGCATAGACCCGCGCCATCTCCCTCTGAGCCCCGCTTGCTCCCGTGGTGGACACTGGGGTTCTCTGCTTCCCAAACTGCAGGAACAGGGGCTGAGGCCGAGGGCCCGCTCTGCCCGCCTGCATTTTTACAGGCCCTCGATCCCCAAGCATTGCCACTGGGACATGTGCTTGACATTCCCAGGCTGGTCACCCGGCCCTCCGCAGTGGGCCTGTAATTCTGGGAGCTGCCGCTAGGGGGCCAGTGGAGCCGGTGTCGGTATGCTGGGCCGAACTGCAGAGAACAGTGGAACGGCTCCCCGCCAGGCAGCTCCTTCGTCGGTGTCCACCTGCCTTTGAACCCTGGAAGGCCTAATCTCCAGCGTCCTCCCCGAACCGAGGTGTAGGAGCCTGGGGCGCTCCCCGGACAGTCACAGAGAAGCTGGCAGCCCAGTAGACAGGATCTCACTGCCCCCGCCTCCCTGCCTCGCGCTTCCCCCTTCTGAGACCCTCATCCAACTCTGATTCATTCCCGGTGACTTTTGCAGCCACTGCTTCCGTGGCTGCACCTTGAACTTGCATTAAGTTTTAATTAAAGCTGTTTCACCGGCCTTGCCCTTGGCTAAATGCAGCTGTGGGCACAGGGCACATAGATATTTAATACTCTGCCCTTCCCTGCTGATGGCACAGGGTGCCCAAGGGTGTACCCGAGCCGTGCCCCGCTCACAGCGATCTGCCAGCTCGCTTAAGTGTGCCCACAGGCCCCGGGCGGGAGGCCGTGCAGTAACTATTCATTGCCCTGGGTTAAGTGTGCCCAGGGGCCCCCGTAAACTCAATGTGGTGATTAGCGGTTGCTCCTGGTGAAGGCCGCCAGGGTCCTACCAAATGTCCGTGGGCCCTAAATATAGCCTGTGCATGGGGCTTTGGGGGCACCTGACTGCATCTTCCCTTTTCTCTTTTAGCAGAATCATTGCCCTCTTTCCTAAAGCCTGGCGCCAGGCCTGCGCTGGCTTCCTCCAGTTGTGGCCTGGGGTTGGGGGACAAGAGGGGTGGCTTTGGCGGTGGACCCTGGAAACACTGAGTCCTCTTACCCTCTCCTTAGGCACCTTCTCTGCCCCCCACATGAAGGTGGCACCTCCAGGGACGAGGAAGTTGCAGGGCTCCCCTAAATTGTCCTGAGTCTGGCAGCGGGTGGGAGGCTCTGTGGGGCTAGGGGACAGCAGAGCTGGCGGCCAGAGAAGGTTGAGCGACCCGGGACTTCCTCTGAGACTGTCCTGTGGCTCAGCCTCCCCTCCCAGCCCAGGTCTGCCGCAAAAGCAATTAGGGGTGAGGAGTGGAGAAATTGGAAGACAGGAGGAAAGCTGGAAGGGGCAGCGTCTCAGGCAGAGACGGATAGTGGTGTCACCCTGCAGGGCGGCTGTCCCAGTGTGATGGGGCTGTCCTGCGGTCAGCACTGTGAGTCCACGTGGGGACTCAATCCTAGGGAGCCTGGCATGGCGGTCACCCTGAGGACGGTGCCCTCCGTGGGCACAGATGCACTTTCTGGCCTTTGAACCACTCTCTCTGCCTTTGCTTTTGGATCCCATGGAAAGAAAAAGGGGAAAGAAGAATTGGGTGAACTGGACAGGATGAGGTGGGAGGGGCAGGAGGGGACCTTGTTCTGAGCAGCACCATCCGTCTGTGCCGTACACACCCGCCCTTGGCTTTGCCAGCTGTGCCCGGTGCCCCACCTGCCCCCTTGGCCCAGCCCAGGGCAGCAGCTGAGGTGGTGACATTTCCCCGGGTCTGTTGACACTCGAATCCCAGAACATAAATGATTTTCTCGTCTTAATGAGCAAACACCCCGGCTGCCTGGGTCTCTCGCCAGCCTCCTGCTGGGGTGATTGCCAGCTCTTCTGCACTCGGCACGAATGTGTGCCTACTCACCTTGGTCCACTGTGTGCCAGATGTTGCTTCCCCTCTGTTCTGCAGGTCTCCCGGCCTCTGCCCCTGAGGAGCAACAGTAGGCAGGTAGGTGGGGCAGAAACAAGCTTCTGGAAGGTTCAGTCTGGCTCAGTGCTCAGGGATGCTGTGTGGCAGGATGTTTTGATTCCCCTGCCCTCCTGTGAACAGTGCCAACCCTTCTGGGCCTGGGTCTTGGCAGCAGATCTTGGAAGCCTCCCCTGGTGGCCTCCGGGTAGTACCTGAGGTTGCCTGAGAGGGTCCTTGAGGAAGGGCTGGGCTGAAGCCTCTGGCTCCTTCCATGATGAAGTTCTTCTGTCTGCAGAGTGTCTGGTGGCAGGAGCTCTTCCTCGGCTAGGCCACCTGCTTCTGTCCTGCACGAGTGTCGCCCTCCTTTCTCCTGGCCCTAGGTGTGTTTCCCAGCCTCTGGGAGGAGCCGGCCTGCTTCTCTAGGTCCCCCAAGCTCCCCCTGCCAGTCTTAGGCTGGGGCCCGGGTCCCTCCCTGCCCCTATCCCACCATCACTGCCACGTTCATTCAAAGCCCTGATCGCCAGTGTCACACTAGAAGGTGGTGACCAGAACCCAGGACACATGGCTGACTGGCTGGCACCTGCTGTGTGCCCAGCACCCCGGGACAGGCCTCCTCCCCTAGCCACAAGGGAGCAGGGTACAGTTTTCAGGGCTCCCTGGGCGCCTGGCACGCTGTCCCCTGGGCCAGCCCATTCTTCCAATGGCCTTGTCATCTTCCCAGGTGTCTCCCCCAAGTCTCCATTCTCCTTGACTCCTAGCAACGGTGTCCCCCTTGCCAGGTGGTTTGTACATGTGTCCTGTTTCTCCAGACCCCTTGGCTGCTGTCCCTTCGAGGGGAGCTGGTGGCCTCTCTGGAGGATGCCAGTCTGATGGGATTATACGTGGACGTCAGTGCCACCACGGTCACCGTCCAAAGCCCAAGACAAGAACTTCTTCAGAGGCGGGAGGTCAGTGGGGTCAGCAGGCCCTGCCAGGCTGGGGGGCACTGCAGCATGGAACCCAGATGAGCACTGTGCCGCCCCTGCGATGCCAATTCAAATGTCCACCTGTGGCACCGGACAGATTTAGGCAGCAGCCTTGAAAATTGGGCCCCATTAGTGTAAAGCGCTCAGCTCGGCAGATGGGGGGCTCCTGCAATCACGTATTCAGCACGTCCTGATCATGGTGGCAGGAGCGTAATTACCATCTCTTTAAATAGCCCGAAGTTGCCGTGTAAGAGAAGACGGCTCACATGACATTTGCTCCCAGCTCACTTCCTGCTAAAAATATCCCAGCTAAATAATATTTCCTGGTTGCACTGGAGCAATTCACCCTGACCTGGGCTCCACAACATTTGGGGGTTTGGTCCAGAGAATAGTTACAAGGTTGGGGGGCCCAGGGAGGGAGTTTTTTGAGGGGTCACAGGGGACCCTTCTGCCTCCCCAGGTGCTGAACACGTCTGCAGAGCTCCTGCCACTCTGGCTGGTGAGCAGCCACTATGCCTATCCCCTGGAGGCTGTGTGCCCACCGGGTAAGACCCAGCAGCGCCCCGAATCTGCCTGTCTACTTCAGTACTCTTTGTCCTCTCTTTTCCTCTCTCCCCAGACATCTCACCCTTCTCCCACTCCACCTCTGTCCATATTAGCCTCATCCTTTCCATGAACTCCTGAAATACTTGAGACAGAGAAGGCTCCTCTGGCTGGGGGTGGGAGGGGCACTCGAGGAGGAGAATGAGAAGCAGAGTTATCTACTGAAGGCTGTGGAGTAGGGGATCTGGGGCTTCCTGGGAGGGAGGCCCCACGATCAGCAGCCTTCGTCAGACACCCCCTGGCTCTGGCTTCTGTTGGTAGTGGGACCCTGCTTTAGGCTGCATGATAACGAATTTGTTCACCTTGGGGTGACACCATTACCATGCACCTTGTGCAATACAAAGAAGCTGGGAATCCGGAAGCCCACTTCCTCCCTCCAGGGAATTTAAATTCTAAAGAACTCAATATGCAAAGTTAGGTGGATCAAAGGCTTCATCCTGTGTGGGTAGATCAGAGATGACTAACACGTCACATTTGTGTAGAATTTTATCACAGAGGAAGTTTCAGGATCAGGGCTCTGGGGAGTTTCGGGCATTGGGGATGGCCTTGCCAAGCTCATGGACATCTCCTTCCCTGTTTGTGATATGAGAAATCTCTTTATTTGGAGACAAATGCTTTCATTTAGCAACTGCAGAGCTGGCTTACAATGTTCCTGTGAGAGGGCTGACACAATGAAATTCTTGCTAAAGTGTAAACAACTGATATGAGCCATATTTTTTAAGAGCAGCTTTGGTAATGGAAGGGGCACTAAGCTAGGTCGAACGAGCTGAAGACAGTCTCGGCAGAGACATTTCCATGGCTTCCTAGAGGCACCTTGCTTCCAGCATCTGCTTTTTCATGGGCTTTCTAGAATAGCAGCATCCCCCAGGTGCTTGAGGATGGTATATTTTTCTTCTCTTCATCTGTGCTGCTGAGTTCCAGTCCCAGCAGTGATCGCGAAACAGTGATGAGCCCACTGTCTCTGACCCCAGTGGTATGCAGAGCTGGCCACAGGTCCATGGCTAGTGCCCCCCCCCCCACACGCTGCAATGTGTCTTTCTCTGTGTTGCATGTGCTTCCTGTTTCAGTGTCATCCCAGCCAGGATCGGAGGTCTTAGTCCACATCCCCAGGCAGAGACTGGGCCTGGTCAAAAGAGGTTCCCACTTTGAGGAAGCCCTGAGCCTAAAATCCCTCCGAGTGCACCAGTCCACCACCTTCACAGTGACTGAGAGCAGGGATTTCGTGGTGGTCAGCATCCCAGGGGCTCCGCTGCTCCAGGTCCGGGTCAGTATCCTGGTGATGCTGCTTCCTGCCCCTTCTGAGACCCCTTCTTTGGCCACTGAGAGGGGTCAGAAATGTGGGGAGCAGCTCCGTGAGGGTGGCTGGGAAGGGACTTGGCCACTGATGCCCCTCAGCTCTGGCCATGAAGGGGAGCCACAGGGCAGTGAACACACTCTGCCACTGGCAACTGATTCCTTGTGCTCACAGCCGTGCCAGGAGGCCCAAGGAGCCCCGGGAAAGCAGGCCTTCTACAGCGTGGACCTGAGCCTGGAATTTGCTGAGTCCGAGACCCCAGTGTTCTGGACGGTGGAAAACCACTTCCGGTGCATGGGTAAGTGAGGTTCCCGAGTGCTTGCTGTGACAGTCGCACATGCATGAATCCTCTTCCCCTGGTGTTGTAGTACTTTCTTTTGTGATGATATCAAATTAGTGGACTGGATCAACGTGTGTGTGTGTGTGTGTGTGTGTGTGTGACAGCCAAGCCACACTGGCTGGTGTGGGCATAAATACCAGTGACATCATGACATAGGGACATGGCCCCTGGCTCCGGAGTCAAAGTTCTGGGACAGGGGATCGAAGTGCGGGAGGGAGGTGCCCATCAGCCTCCTAGCCAGCTGCAGAATCTTGCTCGGCTTCAGTTTTGTGGGCTGGGAAGTACAAGTTCAGCAGGGTCACAGAGGAGAGGGAGGGTTGGTGGCTCCGAGGATGCCCTGGACCAAGCAAACTGTTTGTGTTTGGACCTGTCCCGCCCTCTCTGTGCCGGCTCCTGTTCCTCAAGTCACTAATGGACAGATGAGGCTCTTTGCAAAGAGCTCTGCATGATGAACTCATTTCTTAACCCAAAGGGAGCCTCGCTCTAAACACGGTGTGTGTGCTCGGTGTCGGGGCGCTGGGACCACGTCTTGAAAGGGGTTTTCAGTGAAAGCCCGGGTACCAGACAACCTGGTATTCACACATGCAAAACCACCAGGAGCAAAACCCATTCAAATACAGCATAAGGAAATACACATAATTCACAAATGCTGTCGATCACTTTCATCTTATACTTCCTAACTGTCCGCAATAGAAGACAGACGCAGAGGAGATTTAACTCAGATGTTAATAGCACGAGAATGCCCTGTTACCAGGATATGATGTTTCGGTGCTGCATAAAAATATAATTATATTCAGAACTATATTTAAAGATTAAACGGAGGACTGCCTACCACATCTAGCCCCAAATTCGGAATTAGAAACAAAGAAACAGGCAGGATGGGGGGATGGATTCTAAGAGTCTGCTAAGAACGGAGGTATTTCTTGAACGTTTTTACTCATTTCGGCTGCTTTTATTTTAACAGTTTCCTGCAGTGATGACATTGATTTTAGAAAGGGAGGGCTAGAACTTCATCCAACAAATATTGGCGAAGCACTTGCAGTGCGGGGCTCAGGCGGGAACGGAGTCCAAATTGGATCCGTGTTTTCTGGCTGTGTCCAGTCTGGAAGAGGAGATAGGAAAATGTCCGGAGAATCAGATGGACTCAGGGCAGATGCCGGCGAGGAGATGATCTTAGTCCTGGGCTTTGAAGAGTGTGTGGGTCCTTCCCAGGGAGCTAATGAATAAAATGCAAAAATAGCAACAGCAATAAAAATATATGTATATATATTTTTTGGTACCGGGGATCAAACTTGGGACCTTGTGTTTTCGAGGCAGTCGCTGGAACCACTGAGCTAAATCCCCAGCCCAGTAAAAATATTTTTTAAAGAAGATTTTCTTTGGCCTCCCTGGAAAGATTTACATGGCAAAGAATGTTCTCTTTCTCATTTTATTAATATAATATCAGCAGCAGGAATGAGCCCCTCCCTTCACTGGTTCCCAGCCGGTTTCCCTGCACCTCCCCTGGTAGCTCCCTCGTCTTTCTGTTCTTATTATAGTTGCCAGGCGTGCGCCTGTCTCTCCCTCCAGTCCGACTGCTGCGGATCGGGGACCACGTCTTGGGCTGGCGGTTTTTATTCTTTGCCTGCCTTATCAGTCTGCATTGCCCTTGGTAAGCACTTGCTAAGTGCTTGTTGGTCTGGATTTTCACTAGGAATTTTTACAAAATGTTTTTGACAAAGAGCATTTTCTCTTTTGTAAAGATGTGGCTAATGAGTCGGAATATGAATGAATGGAGTGCTTGAGCACTCTGTGGTTACAGATTTTTTTTTTAAATCTCCTAACCCCGCCAAAAAAATGGTTGCTACTGAGGGACATGTCCTAATGATTTCAGATCGTGGTGGCTAAGAGCAGCGGAGGAAGTGAAGTGTCCAGAGAAGAAAAACCTGTGTGTCCGTGCATGCGTGCGCGCGCGCGTGTGTGTGTGTGTGTGTGTGTGTGTGTGAGTGGTAGAGACTCCTGCCAAGCTTCCAGACCCCTCTAAAGAGAATGGCTGCTTCGCTGCTGCCCGTACCTGCCTTGTAGGGAGCCAGACCAGAGGGGCCAAATCTGCCTTTGCATCAGAAGCTGCTTATATAAAAACAGCTTAAGAAGTTTTGTGATAGCTCAGTGGTTTCGCCGCCTGGTGTGCAAGCGCAAGGACCCGAGTTTGATCCCCGGTACCAAAAGAAAAAAAAAGTCACCTTCTTCAAAGAAGTTTCATGAGTTAATTTTTTAAAATATTTAACCTTGGGGCCGAGGATTTAGCTCAGTGGTTCTGCTGCCTGCCTAACAAGTGCAAGGTCCCGTGTTCGATCCCTGGTACCGAAAAAAAAAAAAAAAAAATCTAACCTCCCCTGCAGGCTGAATCAAACATGTCGAAGAGCCACATCGGCCTCATGGCCAAGCACATGTGAGCACTAACCCAGGGGTTCTCAATCAGGGGTGATCTGTGCCTTTCAGGATACCCTTAGCAATGTCCTGGGATGTTCTTGATGGCCACAGTGCAGGAGGATGCTACTGGATCTGCTGTGTAGAAGCCAGGATGCTGCTAAATATCTTATGATGCACAAGACATGGCTCCCATACACAATGATCTGGCCCCGGAGTGTCAGCAGAGCCTGCTCTGAGTCTAACCTAAGGCATGGTCAGGCAGAGGGTACTGCCCAATTCCGTTTGGTTCCGAGGTACAGGACCTCCAAATAGGAACTGGCTCAAAGATGAGACCAGCCGGTGACATTCAAGCTGGGACAGGGAGTCAGAGCCAGGTGGTTTTTGTGGAAACCTAAATTTCTGAGCTTTAGTTTTAAAAATATTAGCCAGGTATGCTGGTGAAGGCCTATAATTCCAGCACTCAGGAGGCTGAGTCAGGCAGATTGCCCTGAGTTCAAGACCAGCCTGGGCTACAGAGTGAGTTCACAGTCAGCCTGACCAAAAAAAGTATCCTGTATCCTGTTAGCCATTCAGTCTCTCCCGGTCATAGGTCCCCGAAAGTCAGCTGAGGTTACACCTTCTAACCCATGCTGGAAGGTGACCTCCCCAAGCCCCTGTTCCCCCACTTGGAGGAATGGGATGGCCACGGTCCCTGCAGCGTGCAGGGCTAGGACTGTGGTCCCTCAGGAGAAAGGCTGACCTATGCCTCCTTTCTGGAAGGTTCAGGGACAGTGTCGCCTGCTTCGACAGATGCATTGAGGACAAGTCCCTCCTGGCCACCCCCAGAATTGGCGACCCCTCCAGCAACATCGCCACCCACTGCCTCTTTTCAGTCCCAGAACACAGCCCAGGCTGGCCCGGCCCAGGCAAGTCCACGCTAGTCCTCTGCCCAGTGTCCTCCTGAGGCTCGGACCTGCTGAGTGGGCCCAGCGCCAAGGGAACCCTGTGCTGACTCCCAGCCATGTCACTTTCTCAAATTCAGAATGGTCCCCAGAGAAAGCCAGGGCCCCCAAGGGTTCCCCTAAAGGCAAGCCCCTCCCGTCTGCTGTGCCTGGCTCACTGCCACCCTGGGGCTTGAGACAGAAAAAGAACAACTGCTTTGCCCACAGGTGGGGGGAGGGAAACTGAGACACACCCCAAAGGCCTTGTGGTGGGAATGCCATAGAATAAGCCCGAGGTGGCACCTCCTACAGGACAGGACCTCCAGATCCGTGGGGAGCCAGAGCCATGTGCTTTTATTTCTGATGTGTTTTTCTCTCTCGGTGCTCCCTAGCTGCAGCCAGAGCCTGGGCCGGTCCTGCAAACAGCCAGGCCTGCTGGAGGAAGCTGGGTGTCCGCTGCCTCCTTTTCCCCCAGCGTCACCTACCATCAGTGTTGTCCCCAGGCTCCGCCGGAGGGAACAAGACTACCTGGAGCTCCCCCTGCTTCAGCCACGCTGAGCTCCAGGACCCTGGGAGCTGTCCAGGCTAGCCCCAGGCCCTCACACCCCATCTTGGCAGCTCCCACTGCCCCAGCCACACATCTATCCTCAGAAGCCTCCTCTCCTCCGTCACCCTCCTGGAGGTCTGACCAATCTGAAGTGTCCCTGGGTTCCGGACCTGTCAGCCTAATGGAAGGTCCCCAGCAGGACCCTGCCCATTCACTGCTGGGAGGGCTGTCAGGAGTGGATGTGGCTGTCATGGAGCCCACGAAGGCCCTCGAGGAGCTCCAGCCATCAACGAGGCCCTCGGTGACCAGGCTGGCTGAGGAGGCATCGGGTTCTCGTCACACCCACAGAACGCCCCAGGAAATATCTCCCATCATGGAGGCCTCCGGGCTGCCTGAGCGTGACCATGGCATCCCTGGGGAGGTGTCCAGAGGGCACCTGGCCCGGTCACCCCCAAAACTGAGTCAGGGGATGGAAGGACTGAGAGTCACCATCTTGCCAGGGACGGATGCCACACTCACCACCCGAGGAGGGTGGCAACCAGACACCAGCGCCTTCCTGGGGACCTCAGGACCTGAGCCCCCTGGGAGGCCCAGGGTGGGCCCTGCAGCCCCCCTGACAGCTCTTCCAAAGAGCCCTGTGGTTTACACCGGCAAGAGGCCTGTAGCCCCATCTGTGGGAGCCTCAGACAGAGCCCCTGAGCTGGAGTCAGCTCCCGAAGGGACTGTGGGTTGGCATGAGTGGGGGCCACACACTCCCAGCCCTCTACTTCTGCGTGCCCTGAGCCTCCAGGCTCCTGCAGGAAGCGCAGTGCCCAGCCTGGCTGAGCCTGGAAACCCCTTCCCCACTGGTCACAGGGCCTTGCCGCCACGGGACCCAGCAGAGGCCATGTTGGCCACCAGCCTTGAGAATCACGGACCTCCTGAGCTTCCGAACACTGTGGAGGGGACTCTCCTGGGGAGGCCCCAGGGTGAGTCTTGGGAGTGCCCAGGAAGGAGAAGTCCTCCGGGCTGGGGCTGTAGAGGGCAAGTGAGGACTGGACTTGAGCCCTCTCTCTAGTGCAGATCCCTGACACATGCATGCTCAGAGCTATGCTGGGGTTATTGTCACCGCTGTGTGGGGCACATCACAGCCGTCGGCAGAGCTTGGGGACAGCAGGCACCTTGGGGGTGGGGTTCAGCAGGGTGGATGCAATTCCCTAGTATGAGACCCACTCCCTAGGGCTTCAGGGGCCCGAACTCCAGGTCTCTAGAAGACCCGAGGGGAGGGGAGGATGTGTGTGTGTCACTGCTCCCCTTTCCTGCTCACCCTTCCCCCTGTTTCCATGGCAGAGCTGGTACCCTGATGGCTTGGAGAGCCCCAGTGACCTTGGGTGACCCAGTGCTCCCAGGCCGCCGGCCCAGAAGCTCTGCTGCGACTGGGTCACCGCACTGGGTGCTTCCCAGAAAGGGCGGCACCCCCACCCCCTCCAGGCCAAGCCAAGGCTGCGAGTGGGATTTGAAACGCAGCCAAGGAGAGAGAGGAGGCAACGACCACCCGGACGGGGGCTAAATAAATAAATAAATAATCAGGGTTGTCTTGGCTGATAAACGGTCCCTACCTCGAGGATGACTTCTCCCCCTGCGCCCCTCCTTCCTCCTTCCCTGCGCAGATCCGTCCCAGGCCAAAGCTTAATAGCCCCATTTAAGGCTTTTCCTTTTCACCACGGAATTGAGCTGCTCCTGCCATTACGAGGTTTTCAGCTTCTCTCTGAAATCAAATTACTGACTCCATTTAATTTTTTAAAAGCTCGGATGATTTCCCTTCTTGAATCCCAGCCGTGACTCCAACTCCCCCACCCCGCAGGTCCCCTGCGGGCAGCCGCTGCCCAGGGATGGCAGCCCTCACCAGGGCCAGCCTGACACCTAGAGGGGAGGCTGGGCTTCTGGATCCCCCTGGACGCCTGGTGGGGTGGCCTTGGCCTCCCTTGGGGCTGCCAGCTCCCCAGAGCTCGAGGCTCCAGGGCTAGAAGACCTTCAGATGCTGGTGGGCTCAGTGGTTAGAGCCCAGCCCAGCGCAGTGGGCTCCTGTTGGTTCCTCGGGACCCCCATGCCTTCCACAGTGCGTGTTTGGGACCCAGTTCCTTAACAGGTGTTTATGGGGTGCCTCCTGGAAGCCAGGCACTGTTCCTACTCTGGGGAGGCCACTGGGACCGAGAAAGTCCTTTGTGCAGGAGGAAACCTGTGTGTGTGTGTGTGTGTGTGTGTGTGTGCGCATGTGTGTGAAAGGGGATGGACACTTGTCATAAACACTTGTGGACAATTGCAGATAATGCTCAGGAAAGAGGGGTGGGTTGCAGCTGCTTCCGGTGGGAAGTTCAGGGTGACCCGGGGGGGAGGTCAGGAGGCTGGGGGAGGGCATCCAGGCAAAGTAACAGAAGTACAAGGACGGGAGGAACTGGAGGGACAGAAAGCCATCAACGCTGGTGTGTGAACAGCCACGAGCCTGCAGGGCTGGTGGGGCCAGGGTTCCTTCTGGCCTCTGTGGGCAGTGGACGGAGAAGGAAGGGGGAAGAAGTGGAAGGAGGAGGAAGGTGGAGGGCGGCCTCGAATGGATGTCACACAGCCGGCTGTGGCTGCAGAGGGATGGTGGAGGGACAAGAGCAGCGACAAGGGGCTGGGGCTGCAGCTGGTTCAGGGCCAACCTGCGCCACCGGAAGGAAAAGTGACCATCGGGGTCCCCTCTTTGCAAGCCGCACCACTGCCACTCCGGCTGCATCTTCCATCTCAACCCCGCCCGCAGTGTCCCAAGCAGTTCTCTCTGTGTCTCTGTCTCTGTCTCCTCTCCTGTTTGTCCCTTATCCTGCAAGGCCACCTAGCTTTTGAGCATCACAGATGAGGGACACAGGCACGAGGAGGTCCTGTAATCCAGGTCCAGCCCTTTACCAGGTCTTCCCCTGTTTAACCCCCCTGCTGCCTTGGAGGCGAGACAAAGGGGATGGAGTTAATGGAACCACCAGGCTCTGCCTGGCGTGAATGGCCCCTCGCCCCGCAGGCAGACAGGCGGTGATTGCAGGGCTGGGAGGGCCTGGGCATTAACTGTTCTGGGCACTCTGCCCAGCTCTGCCCTCAGAGCAGCTGGCACGGACCTTGTTACTTCCTTTCCTTCCCTTCGCCTTCCTCCGTCCGTACCCTCTCAAAAGTGGGATGGTTGCAGTTTAATTAGAAGGTGTTCGGGCTTCTGGAGAGGGTGCCTATTCCTCTTCAAGATAGCACAACCCAGCACTGTGACTCGGCTCCAGGACACTCTGGGCCCACGAGCACCTACCCCTGATCCTGGGGCCATGCGGGATTGTGTGTGGGTTCGGTCCCTGCCCTGGGGATGTCTAGTTTTTCCTTTTGCGATGTCCCAGGTCTTGCTGTCATTTTTTATGACCAGTGTCTCTGTGAACGGTGACATCTTGGCAGGGGTGGCCCTTCTTGGGGTCAGATAGCCATGGAGGTGGGTGGATATCACCAGCCCTCCCCCCTCCCAAGGGCTTGGATTCTCACCCCCACCCTGTGACTGGGAAGCTGGGGCTCTGAGCATGCGTGTGCTTCTCTCCTGCCCCACATGGCATCCGATGCTGAGCCAGTTTCCCTTTGGGACTTGCCTCTTGAGCACCAAGCTGTTTCCACGCCTCACAGCACCCAGATCTTTTGCTATTCCCTTCTTGAAAGTCCCAAATTCCCAGATTTTAGCTGCTTTCCCTGACAGACTTCATATCACAACACGCTCTTTCATCCTCAGCTGCAAGTCTCTGTTGGGTATTTGAATATTACTTAAACTGGAATTGTAGTTATCAACTCAGTAATTCTCCAAATTACTGTGTAACCAGAGAGGCGGCATGGTGGGAAGAGCTGTTTGCTGGGCATCGTCAGGAGACCAGATTGGCCCCACTGGTGCAGAGCGATCTTGAATAAGTCCGTTCACTTCCCGAGCCTGAATCCAGCGCTGTGCTATGAGGGATGAGGAAGCCTGGGAATCTCTGACCTTGCTCAGGTTTCGGGGCTCATATCTTGGAGATGGTAAAGAAGTTCCATGTAGCTTGGGGAGGACCCCTCAGTCCTGAGGATCCTGTCCCTAGCTCAGACCTGACCTCAGCGCCTCTCATACCTTTGCTGCTCTCCAGGTGGGTCTCAGGGGCTGGGGACTGCCAGTGACATCAGGCAGGAGGCTGGACAGGTAAGAGAACAGCCAGGACCATGTGGACAGATGCTCGTGCTCATGTAGTCAGCCACCATCCACCCATCTCCCACCTTCCTTATTCTCCAAAGCCAAAGCCCAGCCACTCCACTCCCAGATTGCAAAGCCCTCAGGACAGTGGTTCTCACAGTGGGTCCCTCGAAGTAGCATCAGCTTCCCTGGGAGCTTGTTAGAAATGTATGACGTGCGTTTGTTTGTTTGTTTTGAGACAGGTTCTCACTATGCAGTTCAGGCTGGCCTTGAATTTGCAACTATCCTCCTGCTTCAGCCTTGGAGTGCTGGGATTGCAGGTGTGGGCCACCATGCTCAGCAGAATGCTCATTCTTGAGCTGGAGATGTAGCTCAGCGTCCTGTCTGAACCCACTGCAAAAGAAATGCAAATTCTTGGGCCTTACTCTTGATTCAGTAACTCCAGGGAGGCTGCTAGGGATCTGCATCTTAATAGGGGATTCTGATGCCCCATTGCCTAAGTTGGGAAGCAGCGGGGAGAGTGTGATCAGGCAGCCGGAAGTTGAGAACTCCTCTGCCGGCATAGTAGGAGCCATACTTGACCTTCATTCATCTCCCAGTACTTGCCACCTCCACTACAATACACTCAGCACCATCTCTTTGAGGAAGAAGGATTGTTCTGCCCATTTTACAGATGAGGAAATGGAGCCTTGGGGCCTTGGCTAAGGTCACACAGCCAGGGCTGTCTCCTGGACACCTTGGGGTTCCAGGTGGGGCTCCTTAGATCACCGGAATAAAAGCACGTCCATTGGCCAGAGAGAATATTCTCCCTTCCAGCTCTCTCTCCCCAATTTCCAGTTGCAATCACAGGAGAGAGCATCCAGGAAACATAAATTTTGCCTGGCAGTTGAGTAAGAGCTCTGAAAGGAGTTACACGTCAGGGAGATGGGACTTTATTTCTCAATGAAATAGCCTTTTTATAGCTGGAATAAAAGTGCCAGGGGGAGCCTAATGCCAGGAAGTAGCAAGTACATTTGATAAACTCCTCCAGCCAGGGTGGAGCCGCACGGGAGCAGCAGCCCTGCGTTTCCAGAGGCAAATGATCCTTTGCAAGTTGGAGCTGAGGGAGACCCGGAGGTGGGGGCGTCCCCTCGCGGGCCCACCCAAACTGGGCAGGGACTGACCCTTGGACGGGGACAACTTCCTCCTCTTCCTGGCCCGCGGGTCCCAGGAGCAGAGCTGCAGAGCAGAGAGCGGGCAGCAGGGGGCAGCATAGCACACTGTTCCAGCCCGTCGGGTGGCGCTGTTGGGGGTGTTGGGCCGGGGATCTCTGAGGCACATGGCTCAGAGGAAGCCATCAGTAACCCCCTTCCGAGGACCTCTTCCTCCTCCCTTTAGCCCTGCCCACCCATCCCCTTCGCAGCAGGGACGATATGATCGGACCCCAGGGTCTGGGGCTCGGGGGTCTCCATCCCTTGCCCACTCCCAGGGCACTTTCCCGAGCTTCAGGCTTTGCTTTGGACCTTATTAAGCCCCGGCCCCTTCTGAGTGGCCTCGTGAGGAGTCTCAGTGCGCATGTGTAGGTGGGGGCCTCGAAGGGTGAGGGGTGGTGGCTTTCATGATCACTGAGGGCAGAAGAAACCCCTGAAGGACAAAGAAAGCAAGGAAACCTCCTCATTTGAGAATGCGCGTGATTGGCAGGTTTACGGCCTGGGAAGGTGCGTGGTATTCTGCACAATCAAGTCATTTTTAAAAATAATCTCCCTGCTTAAGTCGTACATGCTGCTAATTGCATTTTAATAAGTCTCTTAAAATCTTGCCATATTTTTTAATATCCTAATATTAGGTAAGTGATTGCGGGGGACACTGGAGGGCATGGGGAGTTTATATAACAGAGGGAGGGTGGTAATGAAGCTGGGGGTGGGGGTGTTCGTGTGCCATGTCGGGGTGTGTGTCCATGTGGGAGTGTGTGTGGGGTGTGCGGGGGTTCACCAACAGGGCTTCCCTGCCCACAGCCCTGGGTGGCGGCCCCAAGGCAAGCTGTCCACAGCAGCTGCTTCCACAGCCACCGCAGCCCTGGGAACCGCTTGACTCTCTCTGCCCAGGTCTGCCAGCTGGGAAAGAGGGAGGGAGGGACAGGCATTTCCCCTCTTTTCTCCTTTGGCCCCAAACTAGAACATCTGAGCTCAGGGCACATCTCACCCAGCCTGTCCTCTCTTCCTTTTCTGAGAACGAAGGTCCCAAGCCCAGAGAGCAGCTGGGACTTGACTGAGGCCACATAGCAAAAGGACACCCATGGGAGAGCCCAAGCCCTGCCTCGGGAGGGCAGAGGAAGAGCCACCTTCCTCTCCCTCCTTCTCCTGGCACAGGGGCCCAGCGTCCTTGCAGCAGGCC